GCTTGTGTGCGCGTCCCGCCGTGGCGAGGAGCGAGGTCCCCTCGATGCGTCCCTCCGCGGGCGCTCGCAGGGGGACGGGCAGCTCTCCGCAGGGCTTTGGTAGCTCAGGTTGTACATCCAGACGTCGGTTAGCAGGTGAAGTCCTCGAAGGTGCCCCGGGCCGGGTGGTGAGGTAGGATGTTGGCCGCGTACGTCATCCCTGCCGGGTGGCCCCGGATGCTCTCGCAGGGATTCTGCAGAGCGGAGAGGAGGAAGGATGGGACGCCACCGTCGCCGCGCGTCGGCGGTTTCACCCACGCCCCGCTGAGAGCAGCCCTGGCTCCCTCCAGCACCTCTGCCCAGTGCCTATGCTCCTTTCCTAAGTAGTCCCCAAAATCGTGACCCTCCCCGACACGGCCGGGGCAGCCTCCCGGCGCGGCACCGGCACTTACGTGGCGTTTCACGTCGTCCATGCTCAGCGCGACGCCTTTGTCCGTGTTGCTCCTCTTGTGGTTCTTGCGGCACTTTCCCCGCCGGCACAGCCGGTGCTTGATCACCTGCGGGAGCCCTGTTTCAGCTGTGCAGGGCTCGGGGCGGGCTGAGCCCCGCGTCCTGCACGTGCCCTGGCAGCACCCAGCACCCACGTGGATGGGGGGGACGGCAGGGTCTCACCTCGTAGGCGTAGTCAAACAGCTCCAGTATCGTGAGGATACTGGCACCGATGAACAGCCCCATCTGCCCTCCAATGTCACCTGGAGAGGAGAGGGAAGCAGTCAGGAGGGGCAAGAGGCTGGCAGCAGAGGGAGCAGAGAAAGGGCAGAACTCGTCACAGCTGTGACCCATGCCTCAGGCCTCCCCGCGGCCTGCAGGAGGGGGGCCGCCGGCCCCCAGCGCTCACCCAGCAAGCCGGCCACCTCGTACGCCTTCTTCTGCTCGATCGTCTCGTAGTTGAGGGCCTCGAAGAAGATATCCAGCACCAGGATGTTCTCCCTGCGCGAGAGGAAGGCGGCGTCAGGCCGAGGTTCGGGCCGGGGGCGGATGCGACGCCTCCCCCGTCCCCGCAGCGTGTTACCCGATGTACTGCTCCGACTTGTTGTACTTCTTGGCCAGGTACTTGGCGGAGGCCTTGCTGGGGATTTTCACCATGGAGAGCTCCTTGCCGTAGCGGGTGACGTTGCAGGGCATCTCGCAGACGCAGTACTCGTTGTCCTTCTCCACCAGGAAATCTGGCAGCGGGCGGGGAGAGAGGGCAGCGCAGGGGTGACGAAGCCACCGCAAAGCCGAGCGCT